TTTCTATAAATAGTGGGGGTACATCATATAAGTCCTTATTACTTGAAAAACCTTTCCAATCCAAAATATGCCTATATCCACCCTCAAAAAAGGAGGGAAAAAAATTCTATTTTCTTCTTGTTATTTTCTTTTTATAGCATTATCAGTGTTAGCATTGAGAGAAGGGCATTGGTGATGTTTGTTGACAGAAGATAGAGAGCACAGATGATGAAATGCTAACTGGCTCATTGCATCTCATTCCTTTGTGCTCTCTATGCTTCTGTCATCACCTTCAGCCTCCCTTTGTGCAACACTATATGTCAATACTTGGCTATATGCCACTAACATCATTTTCATGTCTTATATCTTGTAGGTAAGATGAATAGAAATCTTTAGTATGATATATGGTGAGTCTATTTCTATTTATTTTGCCTTTGTCTAAAATAGTCATATGATGTTAACATATAATTCCTTGGTTTCTTGTCTAGTATCAACAATTGTTGGATGTTTTGGCAGATTAAATATATAGAGGAGATCAAACGTGGTATGGAAGTCGATCCAAGGATAAGAATTAAGATTATGGTTTAAATCCGAAAGCTTAGAACGGTAGACGATGTCATGTGTTTTATGACTTTCAAGTGAACGCGTCAGTCTGGTTGTTCATGAGTTTGGCATTTTACCTAATTTTTAGAAATCTTGATATATATGAGGTGGACCTTATATTAGCATATGTTATTCTCACCAAAAAGAAAAGAAAGTCCTACTTTGTGATGGCGCAGAATTTTCTTGATTTGTATTGCTCAGATCAAGAGCTTGTTTGTTTGTTTTTTTAAAATTTTGCTCTCCCTTCTTATACTTGAAATTCTCTATGTACTTTGAAGTGTGAAATATAACTTACAATTGTAGTATACTAAGATAATGACCATACTTCAACAATTCTTCTCCTCTTGGCTAATAGTTGCGTTCTCAACTTGATTCAGATGTCCTCCTCAGTCATCACGGGCTGTCTTTCTTTAATTTGAACGTTCATTCAAATTCATATATTATAACCTAAAACTATATAACATCATAAATATGTTTGCAATCAGTAACAAATCAAAAGAGACCTCCCCCTGATTCTGTTATCCATGTTCTTATTTTCTCAACATTAATTCTTAGCAGCCTTATATTTCCATATGATATTCTACTTATAAATACATTATTTCATGTTGATTTGGATCTCAATATTGTAACTCAATTTTTTGACTCAAATCTTAGCAACTCGAAAATTTTAAAGCACTTCCTATACGTTCTTTTTGCTGGGAAAGAGATTTTTTTTTTTTCCCTTCGTAAGTTCTTTCTTTGGTGGAGGAGTTAAATTAGGGAGGTTACTGGTTGAGGATTGTTGATTCGGACTTGGATTTTTTTATTAGAGTTTAATTTAGGGCGTTATTTATTTCGTACTAGAATTTGAATTTAAATTTAACGTGTTATTGGTTTAGGACTAAGATTTGGATTTGAATTTAACACGTTATTGGTTTGGGACTAGGATTGAGATTTGAATTTAACATGTTATTGATTTAGGACTAGGATTTGATTTGAAATTAAGGTGTTATTGGTTGTGTAGGATTGTTATTAGGAGTAGGATTTCAAAATCCATACAACTTCAACTTGATAGTTTTTAATGGGAAATTTTCTAGAGAAAGTCCAAGTTAAAATTGATGGATTGTGATCTCAATCTATGAATTTTCTCTCTCCTCGTCTTTACTTATTTAAATATTTAATACTTTTCTTCTCTTTACTTATTTAAATATTTAAAAAATTTCAAATTAAATATATTTAATTTTAAAATATTCCATATTCCAAAATTATTTATATATTAACACTGAATTAACATATTCGTGATCAACTTCTTTTTTATTAAATCTTTTAAAATTAAATATATTTAACACTATTCAATCATTTAATATCTTTCATATTTAATATTAAATTAAAAATGTTTATCATTTATAGTAAATATATAAATATAGATATTTAATATTATATTACATTTCATTTTGTTTTTATTTAAATGTTAGAAATAAAATATATTAAGTACATAAATATATGTAATATTTAAAAATTTAATATCTTAAATAATAAAATTATCTAATAGTAAACCATTCGAATATTTGGTGTTAAATGTCTAATATAAATTTTCTAATATATTGAATATTTACATATTCAAATATACAAATTAGTTTTTATATGGTCGAACACTAGTTATTTTCTTCTTTGTACTTGATCACTAGTTATTTTTATTTATGTGCTTGCACTAGCTATTTTCTGTTGTGTGGAATAACCTAAACTGTTTAAATGGATTACAAAATGTATTCAGTTTTATTGTTACCATTCATGATGGTGGTTTTCTAAATTAATATTTTTTTAAATATTATTATTCAACATAATAATTTATTATGAAACTCATAATTCAAATAATCCATGAATCTAAAATTTAGTCTGAGAATCTGACTCCCAGTCTGTGAATCCAAAGCAAAAGTTTAAGAATCCAAATAAAATGTTCAAGAATGCTACTCAAAATTTTAAAATCCAATCTAAGAGTCTGAGACTTTAACCATAAAATCTTATTCCAGATCTTAATCCAAGAGTGGGTGATTAATGGATAATTATCCAAGCCCAAATCAACAATCAAGAATGAATAACACTCAATAGAGCAAAAGTGTGTTTTGATATATTTTCAACTTGCACTAGGTGTTTATGCTAGTTGAAAAAAATGGTTTGTAAATTAAAGGATCTCACTCTGTTAAATCATGATGAATGTAGAGAATGGGTGGTGATCTGTCTGACATACATAATACATTTACTTTTGCAATTATATTATTAATTATTTTGCAATTTCATTTTAAGCCCTTTTTTGGGCTTAGAAATATAAAGCTTTATTGGCTGCACTAGAGTCGAGAGTGAACAAGACACATGTCCTCTGACTATCATAGTTTTGGATATATCATGATATTCCTTAGGTCTACTAGATATATATATTCTAGTAGGATTAACCTTATCTAAACTTATCTTGTCATTAATTAATTGTTAGCTTAAAGTTTGCATATATCTGATCTTGAACAATATATAGTTGGCCAATTTGGTGTATATATGCATTCCACTATTGTACAGTGCCAATAGAGGTGATAAAGGCAATGAAGCATGAGATCTCTGTGTGTTAGCTGAAAGCTTCTCGCTCCTTGTATTTTTCCTAAGGATCATAACAAAACAAGTCAAGTGATTCTTGACCTCTACAAATCATATTATATATGATTATGCAAGTAGAATAAATCAATCCATTACCGACTGAAATTCTTACTAGCTAGGCCCTGTTTGGCAAAGGGCCAAGGAAGAGAAATTAAGAAGAAGAATTAACATAGTTAGCCCATTCGATAAATCGAATGACTAAATTATTAAACTGTTGTATAAGTTTTATTTTAGTCATTATGATCATTTTTAGTAATTGGGAATAACAATTATTTTGAATATTTTCTTTATAAATAGAGGGTTAACTTTTAATCCTTTTAAATATGAGTATTAATAAACCCCTCATTTTGAAAGGTTAACTCATTTTAATTCTTTTTGGGGGTTAGCTTAACCCTTCTATATTTTTTGTGTTTGGCAGATTATAAAGGGTTAACTCACTTTAACCATTGTGTAGATTTTTTATAATTGGCGGATTAAGAAGGGGTTAAGCCTTCTTAACCCCTCACATAACCCTTTGTCAAATGACACCTTAGATTATAAAATTATAGCTCTCAGTTTAAGCTTTTCAATTTGCAATGCACCATAACTTAAAAGTTTAGTGTAACGGTAGGGATTCTAACATAAGTAATAGAGGGACACTCTCTAGTTGCTTCCTCTAGTCACTTTTACATGATGCCGAAGAGAGTAAGAGG